AACAAGCTCAAAGAGAAGACGCCAAAAAAGTGTAGTAAGAAAACAAAGAAGAAACAGCAGCAGCAGCAGAAGCAGAAGCAGCAGAAGCAGCTGCCATCGCATCGTGGCCACAAAAAGTACCACCTGCCGCCCATATACATGTCGCCACAACCGCTGTCCTTTGTTCGCCGGCAGCCCCATTAACCCAAGGATATGCCATCATGGGAATGGGAAAGGAAGTGTTGGGAAAACGTGCGCCCTTAGGATGCAATTCAATTTGGTCTGGGGCCAGAAGGGGAGAAAGTCCTTTGGGAAATGCTACATAATCTAGATACAGCAACGCAACTGCTAGATCTGGCTTCATTTTGCTAGGAAAGTAACCACCTTTGACCTAGTGGCATTATTTATGGCCAATTTATTCAAAACCATCAACACGCAACCTGTTAGCGGGGATACCTCGGAGATTTTTCTAATGACGTCTAACTAAGATGGAACTGATGACATATAACATTATGATGAGTAATGGGTTTTTGCTAGAAAGCCAATTGTAGTTGAGTTTACAGATTGAGCATTTGCTTAAAAAATCATAGACATTTTAATCTTGAATCTTCCCTAAAGTAAAAACTCAACAAATGTGCAAAAGAAACATTGAGCCACGCAGCGAATTGGCCAACGAATGCAATCGATGACAACAGCTGCGGCCCACACAGATACGCGCTTAGCTCACCTCGCCCCATCCCAGCGAGCCACCCACTCGCCACCCCTCGTAGCCCCCTCCACCCTCCCCCAATCCCCTCCCCCTTCCATCTTAGCCACCCAGCTGCGCTTGCGTCGCTGTCGCCGTCGCCGCCGACTTTTGGATGGTGGGCGTTGAAAAGTCGCGGGTAGCTGAAATAAACAGCGAGAATCCCGTTGGCTTTGGCTTTTGTTGGGGCCTTTTGCTGTTCGGTGTTAATTTGGCTCGCATATAAAGTCTTCGATTTTATTCCGTGGTCGGTGGAATCGGTTGGATCGGTTGGATCATTGGGACAGCTGTGGTCAGTTGGATTGGACATACGCTGGTGCTGCTAGACACCCACCCACTTCGATGATTAGTGGTTGCTGCCAAATACTAATGGCACAGTGGTTGGTTCTGCAGCTTGAGAGCTCTTAAGATATCAGTTATCTACTTATCTATAGGTGGAATATTGGATCTGCAATATGTGAAATCTGTTAGAAAATAGGTATACTGAATTTTGAAACTTTTTAATAGTCAGTAAGTCATATGTTCGATTTGTACGCAGAGATCCGAAAATGATCTTGTGGATGGAACCCGTAGAATAGCGCTTCAGTAATTGACCGCTGCTGCACTGCGGTGCGATGCGATGCGAGTAACTTCCTCGTGCAGCTCCACCCGTTCCAACCCACTGTGCGTCATCGGCTAAAGCGTTTTTTAATAACTGCGTGCTGGCCGCTCGCAAAGTTGGTGGTTACCATGGGCGGGGTTGGAGAGGGGCAGGCAGGGGTCAGGAAGGAGGTGGCTGTGTGGAGGGATTGTGTTAACATGTCATTAGCTTGGTGGCTTCGTCCGCTGTTGTTTCTGTTGCCGCTGCCGCTGCTGCTGTTGCTGTTGCTGGTGCTGCTGCTGGTACTCCGCCCCCATCCCGTCGACCCCCTTCCAGCGGAACGCCCCCTCTGCGGTCGCGCTTGTGGCCTTTCACCGCAACAACACGTAAATGTTGTGGCTCACCCTGAGCTGCCAGGTCGCCAGATTGCCAGATCGCTTGGCCCAACCCACGGGTGTTAAAAACTGTGTGCATAACTCTACAGGCCAACTTCCTAAATAAAAATGCGAAAGACAGACGTTTGAATTTGGCGGTCGGATCAGTAAAACACGCCTAAACATCTTATCAAATAATCTTTAAAAATTTTAATAATCCTTGTTAGCAATTGATCAATTTCTTCATATTGAAGGAATTCATTTGAAGTCGCAGAGATAAGTTGGGGTTTTAAGAATCCTTAAAGGAATGTATGGAATTTAATATTTTGCTTAATTTCTGAAGAATTATTTCTCGTGTTCAGCATAGTGAATCTTCACTGTATCTGCGAATATCTCTGTGTGTTTTGCAATTGGCACTTTGATGACCGCCCTCGCCGAAAGGCTATAACATTTGATTAGCCTACGCTTTAAACAATTATTGGAAGTTGCCAAAAAAAGAGAAGTCGCCACAAAATTAGATCCAGCAAGAGCACCCCACCTCGCCAAAAAAGGGGAGAGCCAATAATGCGTTTACCGTTAACAGTTGTCCGGCATCTGCGAAAATGCAACATCTGCCAACAGCGAGAAAGAACAAGAGAGTGGGGGATCAAGCGCGCTCTCACTTATTACGTGAGAGCCAAAAGCAGCGAAAATTCCCCCAACCGGCATTTTTCAGCTGCCCAACCGGTTTCTCTCAGCCTCTCTCTCGCTCTCTCTCTCTCTTTCCGTTTATTGCTCTCACAACTCCCCCAAGTTGGCGTCTGTTTGCGCACCCACCACAATTTGGCGTCGACTGCGCTGCGTCGACTGATCGTTGTTCTGATGTGCGCGTGGTGTGTTGCTGTTGCTCTTGTTGTTGGGAATTGATTTTGTTGCTGGCCTGCGCGCCCATTTTCAGCCCACTCTCTTTGCTGGTGTTATTGTTGTTGTTGGTGTTTTGCTGCCGTCTGTTATTAGCAAAGCGGATGTTGTTGTTGCCGCCAGCAAAAGCAGAAACAGCAACAACAACAAAAAAAAAGCAGAAAAGGGGGAGGCACAGCACCCACACGCGCGCTTTTGCTGTTGGCAACGCATGACACTTTCCGCGTTTTTTCCCCCCATTTTGCTGTTGTGTTTTTATTTTGCTGTTGTGCTGTGTGTGTCTCGCCCACAACAGTTGACCTCTTGGCGGCGGCTTATCAAATTCAGGGGGCGGCGGTGGGGTGGCGCAAATTGATAGAGATCTTGGGAGCGGTTGGAAATTTAACTTAACGAACTTGTCTAACTCGATCTTATGAAGGCGATACTAGCTGTAAGTTTTTATGTTCCTTTCGTAATGGGACTTTTGTATCGGAAATATTAATTTGTAAGTAATTACCTATTAGGTTAAATGCTCCTTAAACACTCAATACTTATATTTGAAATATAAATATAAACTAGGTATGAAGGTGATTCCTTTCAGTAAGCCTTCCCTTTGTGGTAAATAACTGGTTTGCAGCCCCACACTTGCACTTTCCTTGTCCATCCGGGGTTTTTCAGAACCCAAATGGAGCTTATGGTGCGGCATGATCTTGAGAGCGTGGCCAAAGTCAAGCGGCAACCACCACAATGGCAACAACAAAGACGTGCCCTTGGCTCGAGAAACCACACGCAGAGAAGTGAGTGAGGCCAGACCAGCAGATCAGGGCAGAGCCCCGAGATCCCCGAGCCAATCCCCAGAGTCGCCGCACAGCTCCAGACCCCCAGACTTCCCGACACACTCGAACTTGAACAAACAACGAACGCAACCACAACAACAACAAGAAGAACAAACGCCCCCATGGCGGCAGAAAACAGCAGCAACACCCCACTGTAAAAAGCACACGAAGCATAAAAATCAAATATGCAAAACTCAGATACGAAATATGAACCGAAAAGAGACGACCAGAAACAGGCTGTGGATCGGATCGGATTGGATTGAATCGGAACGGATCTCGGGACTGGGAACGGTCGTGGGTGTGTGGGTGGTGCTGTTGGTGGTGCGGTGACATGGCAGCGGGGCGTCTTGGGTGGGTGTGTGGGTGGGCGCAGCCATTGGCGCTGGGCCGCAGAACGTGCCCAGGGCCCAGCGGCGAGACGAACACACGCTTTTTGTCGCCACGGCGTGGCAGAAAAACCGTTTCTTCTCAAAAAACAGGGCGCAGCAACATGTGGCCAAGAAAAATACACACTCATAGCAGTTTTCGTCATCTAAAAAAATTTCCAAGAATGAAATTTGGTCATGAATGGAAACAAATCAGACATATCCATTTTCAATTGATAACCTTTAAGAATCCCTTGTTTTATATTCATTTTTTCAATACACTTTTTCAATAACAAAGTATGAGCAAATATTTTTCTCGGTGCAGAGAAAGAGGGAGGAACGTCTAGCACAACCCACACCCACCCACCGCACAACAAAAGCGCCGCCAAAAAAATTGCCGCGATCGTTGGCAGTATGTCTCTTTGTGCGGATGATGCTGGCTAGTGGTGTGGATGATGATGATGATAATCACGATAGACCCGTCGAGAGGAAGACGATCAATGGGTTTTTGGGTTGGTTCGTTAGCTGGGCACGTCAAGGTGGTAAATTTATTAATTTATGCAGCCGGGACCCCAAAAAGAGAGTCGAGTGTGTGTGAGTGTTTCTATGCACTAAACAATGGTTCAGGCGACGAATGTTTCAGTTTGTTTCTTTAAAATAAATAAATATTGTTGAAACAATATATTTAATTGCTGGCCTTTACTTTTTAAGTGTGTTCCTACTGGTGTTGTCTCAGCAACCACTTGAACAAAACGCTTTATACATTTTTGTGACCTGACACCCGACATCGGTGGTCCAAAAATCAGAGATTCGTAAACAAAAAACGCGCTCGCAAGCATTTCTGGCTGACTCAGCGATGCTGCGTCAAATCGAAATCCAAGCCCAAGCCCAATTCCCCACCGAAACCCAAAGCAAAACCCCCCACGCCAGCGCCCCCAAGGCAGACCGGTACCACCCCTCGCCGCCCGCCACTGCTGCCCCTTTCCCATCACACCAGAGCTGGATGTGTCAGCAGTCGTTTCCCGCAAGTGACGCCGCTGACGGGAGGCGTTGGGTATTCTGGTACCGGATGTGGCTCTAAGATAGTTGGACCTATTAATGCTGCTGATGCTGTGGAAACCCCATAACATTTAGATTTGATTTCCTTTAGTGGCCCCACGCTGTTAAAGGTCTTAAAAAGTAATGAGCCTCCTATCTATAACACTTAATAATGGGTCAACAATTCTCTCTGCCATTTTTCAGTTCTCGGCGAGTGGACGTGGAGGCAACAGCAAGAGCAGCAGCCTCCGCCCCCAGAAAGCAGCAGCAGCAGCAACAGCAGCACGCCCGCTAGCCAAGGCCGACGGCAAAGTGAAGCACCTGCAATGGCCACACTAATACCAGTGAACGGCGGCCATCCAGCAGCGAGCGGACAATCCTCCAATGTGGAGGCGACATATGAAGATATGTTCAAGGAAATCACACGCAAATTGTACGGCGAGGAGACCGGTAACGGTTTGCATACGCTCGGCACGCCGGTGGCGCAGGTGGCCACCAGCGGGCCAACAGCGGTGCCCGAGGGCGAGCAGCGCTCCTTTACAAATCTGGTAAGTGAGATGACGCAGCTGACTCCAAGAGGGATGTATCTAATGAAAGCACTTGTTCCTTGTTCGCTCTTTCAGCAACAACTCGATCGCTCGGCAGCGCCCAGCATTGAATACGAGTCCAGTGCGGCAGGCGCCACTGGCAACAACGTGGCCACCACCCAGGCCAATGTAATTCAGCAACAACAACAGCAGCAACAGCAAGCGGAGTCGGGCAACTCCGTGGTAGTGACGGCCAGCAGTGGGGCGACTGTGGTGCCGGCACCCAGTGTAGCGGCCGTTGGTGGCTTCAAGTCTGAGGATCATCTGAGCACTGCCTTCGGGCTGGCAGCCCTGATGCAGAACGGCTTCGCAGCTGGCCAGGCGGGTCTGCTGAAGGCCGGCGAGCAGCAACAGCGCTGGGCTCAGGACGGATCTGGTCTGGTGGCGGCGGCAGCCGCGGAACCACAGCTCGTACAGTGGACCTCGGGCGGAAAGCTGCAGAGCTACGCTCACGTCAACCAGCAGCAGCAGCAACAGCAACAGCCGCATCAGAGCACACCCAAGTCCAAGTAAGAGTTTATTGAACATGGCGAAAAGTTTTCGTTGACCATGATTACTTACGTTTTAAACATTCTGTTGTCTACCCATAGAAAACACCGTCAGGAGCATGCGGCTGAATTGATCTACGCCAGCCCCTCCACATCGGCCAATGCGGCCCAAAATCTGGCCCAATCCACACCCACCTCAGCGCCCAGCAACAGCAGTGGCGGCAGCACCAGCTCCTCCGGCGGAGGAGGAGGCGGTCGGAAGAAGGCTGCTCAAGCGGCTGCAGCCGCCGCTGCCGCGAATGGAGTGCACATCCAGAAGCGTTACGCCTGTACCCATTGTCCATACTCGACGGACCGTCGGGATCTGTACACCCGGCATGAGAACATCCACAAGGACGAGAAGCCCTTCCAGTGCTATGCCTGCCTCAAGCAGTTCAACCGAGCCGATCATGTCAAGAAGCACTTCCTGCGCATGCACCGGGAGCTGCAGTACGACATTAACAAGACCCGGCGACATATCTCGGCGGGCAGTGGATCCTCGGGCAGCGGGTCCTCCGGAAGCGGATCTCATCACTCCGGCGGCCGTGGTAATGTGACCATTAACTCGGCGGGCGTTAACATAGACAATGCCTTCTTGGAGGCCCAACGACATCCCACCTCGAGCAGTATGAGCATTGTGGAGACCATCGAGGCAGTGGCCTCGGCCACCGATATGCCACTGGCCCAGCTCAAGCAGGAGAAAATGGACGATGGCGCCGGTGTGGTATTGCCCCTTCATGTGGGCGTTATGCAGCAACCGGTGGCCAGCTCGAGTTCCGGCAGCAGCGGCAGTCATGGTGGCAATGGAAACGGTGGCAACAGCTCCGGCCTGCTGAAACCGAAGCGGGAGAAGCGCTTCACCTGCTGCTACTGCCCGTGGTCCGGAGCGGACAAGTGGGGCCTCAAGCGGCACCTCAACACGCATACAAAGCCCTTCGTCTGCCTGCTCTGCGATTACAAGGCGGCGCGTTCCGAGCGCCTGGCCACCCACGTGCTAAAGGTGCACAACAAGCGGGCCTGCAGCAAGTGCTCTTACTTGGCGGACACGCAGGAGGAGTACCAGGCTCACATGAGCGATGTGCAGTAAGTATACGCCGTTTTGACATGTCCCTTTGCTGTATCCTTGCAGTGGATTAGGCGATCAATCCTTGGAGGGAGAAGACAATGTAATAAGTTGTACTTACTCCTGACTACGTTTGTCTGCGTGTTTTGTAAAGTTAAAGTTAAAGGTCTTGCTGGTTTGCAGGAATATTGCAAGCCAGACTTAACCATCAATTGACCACAAATTGCTGCCATTAATTTGTGTGCCACATCCATTGGCAAGGATACCCAAAGCTTCGGTTGACCGAATCTAGCCTGTCCCCCTCGTTTGTCCTGGGAATTACGAAAAACTCTAAACAGCTTTTGAACTCTCTTTCGCCCAACTTCTCTGGCCACCCCCCAATATCCCCGGACGTTCTCTATAACTAACCATAAATACCCTCATCTGATCAGTCCGCACGATAATCGGCCGGCGCGCAGCGGCAACGGCAACCAGAGCGGCGGCAGCAGCAGCGGCAATAGCAACGGCAACGGCGGCGGCAATGGCAACAACAATGCCAATGCCGGAGGCCACAGCCAGAACCTCAATGTGCTGCGAACTATTGGCAACAGCCTGGTGGCCAACAACCAGCTGAACACCTATGCCGGCAATGCTTTTGGGTAACATTCTCAGACCGCCCTGCCCCCTTCAAAAATACCAAAAAAAAAAAAAAAAAAAAAAAAATCAAACCAAGAAACCCCTCCCAAAAACAAAACAAACACATCCCAAAAAAAAAAACCAAAAAAAATAATTACAAAAACCCAACCGAGCGCGCACAACGTTCCTAACTCTAGTTACTACCCTCGTTCTCTCGTTCTCTCGACTCTCGATTCCCACGACATCCCCACCATGATCACCACATCTCCACATCACCATCGACCACCACTTCACCACCATTTCGGTTAGCTCGTCCAGTGGCAATGTGGGAAATGCGAATGGAGGCGGCGGCGCCGTAACCATCTACACCACCACCACCAATGAGGGCGTGGCCGGCGGCGGAGGAGGCGGTGGTGGCGGCATAAGCGGCAACATTTCCGGCGGCGGACCGCTCCAGGAGATCATCGTGAATCCCTCGTCGATGGTCGGCTGGCGGCTGAGCGCCAACGGATCGCTGATCCCGCCGCACGATCTGCTAACCGGCGGATTGCCAAATGCAGCCACGCAAAAGCGCGGCTCGGAGCGATTGTTTCAGTACCTCGAGGCCGAGGGCAGCGATCCGGAGGACTATGCGCGGTATTTGGATAACCAATCTATCCCCGATCCATTCCGTTTTCGTTGATTTTCACTCAGTTTTCTTTTTTATATATATTTTATTGTCTTGAGCGTGGTTATTTAATGCTTTAAGATTATCTTCTGCATAATTTCCCAAGAAGATGACCTATTCGTTTCTGTTTCTGTTGATGTTGGTTTTTGAGTTTCACAAAAGTGGTCATCACTTTGCAAATTCTGATCGCTTGTGTTTTTCTTAGATCCATTCCACATTGTGTACAAATTCCTTGTTGAAATGTCCACTGACTGAGTAAAATGTTGTGTTTTGTAAGCTTTTAAATAACTTAAATTCTTACACTGCTTGTTTTTCCTGTACCTTCCTTAAAAATTGGTTGCAGGTCCACAGTTTGTGTTCATATGTTCCCCATTTATGTTTTGGTTTTTACACATTCAATGTTGATAAATCCATCTTATTTCACCCTCAATTGCAGTTTATTTGCCACTATTTGGTTCTTATTCGTTGAATTACTAATGTCATAATACACATTTAAAAAACTAATACGTTTCTATTCGCTTATCCTTGCAGTCTGCTGAAAATGGACGCCATTAGTCGCAACACCGCTTCGGTCGCTCAGGATTTTCATAAGGCGGGAGGCGTGCACGAGTTGAAAATACCAGCCAATCATCAACTCCTGTTTAACAATAAACTGCCTTCGCAATGGACGACACGAGAGGCTGCTGCACTGCTGTACAGCCTGAGCAACATGGGTGGCGGATCCGCCGGCTCCGTTTCCGGTTCCCAGCGTCAAAAGTTCGGCATGCGAGCGCGACAACATTCCACCGGCGAGGACGACGAGAATACACCATCGTCTGCCTCTTCGTCGAGTTTCTCTGGCGATGAGTTCAACATGAGCGCCACATCGCCACTGAAGCTGTCGCGTCATGCCATCAAGCTGGAGAAGATGGATGAAATGGACGCCAAGGACATGGGACCCACCAAGGCGATGATGGCAACGGCATTTCTAGAGGCGGCCAACTACGAGCAGACGGCCATCGAGCTGCTGGCCAGCAAACGGAAGATCAAGGTCGAGAACGACAACGACAACGACGAGGACCAAGAGAACCAGCAGCATCAGCCCCATCAGCAACATCACAGCCAGCAGCAGCAGCGATTGCAGCTTATTAAATCGTCTCCCGCGTACAAATTGAACAACAACAATAATAACAACAATAGCAACAACAACAACTACTACAAGGACAAGTCATCGCACAGAAATGCCGTTCACCATCATCGCCAGGATGACAAGGAGAACAACAAGACCAAGTCGCCAGGAGCAGCAGCAGTAAGTGTTGCAGCTGCAGCAGCAACATCGCCGCCCAGCATCAGCGGCAACACCAACCAGACCCCGTTTCTCACCCAAATGGAGTACCAGAATCTCAATCGCATTGGCACCCAGTTCCAGAACTACGTCAAGGACATTATCAACAAGTACTATGCGGCAGAGACGCCATTGATGCTGGCCGCTGCAGCAGCAGCTTTGCCCACGGCCACGACTACAGGTCAGCAGCAACGGCCAGAGCTGGATATTGAGAACCTGTCGCCGAGCAAGCGTCGTCGTTTGCTCAGCGAAACGGAGGAGTACATCGAGTATCTGCGGAACAAGGAGGACATTACACTGACCATTGCTCCAAAGGTTCCGCCAGCAGCGCCGGTGACATCTCTGCTCAAACGCCAGTTGGATCTCAGCACACCTCGTCGAAGTCCCAAGAAGGCGACTCCGGCCCACAGCAACAGTGCCTCGAATGCCTCCCGCAAATCCCTCAATCAGTTGGCCACCCTATTGCCACTGCTGGCGGATGCGGCCAGCCAGCAAGAGTATCTCGCTGCACCGCTGGACTTCAGCAAGAAGTCCAGCTCGCGCAAGCAGGCGCAGCCAAAGAAGATCCGCCTGACGCCCGAGGCAGTGGTCACCCTACTGCGGGACAAGTACCTCAATCGCATGGTGCGCCAGCGTTTGGGCTGCCTCAAGTGCAACCAGTCGCGAAGGAACAGCTCAATCAGCTTCAACTACCACACGCTGGGATCACTGGCTCTTCACAAGTATTGGCGACATGGCCAGCTTGGATCATCCTCAAAAACTAGGAGAGAGAAGCTGCAGGCAGCTCTGCAGAAGAGGATTAGCCGAGGACAGGCGGAAAAATGCTAATGTGGTCGTGTAGTTTTGGTTCTATTTTATTCGCTTAAGATTAGAAAATGTTTGCTTGCCATATATGGAATGCATTAGGCATTTGACATTGAAAATTATTTAAAAAATTGCATTTAATTTTTTAAATTTTAAGTTGTGATGTACCTGAAATATGATTTCTCTTAAACAAACAAAAAATACTTAAAAAACAAACAAACAAACACAATTCATGCAAACGGTCTCGAACGCGCTTTTGCAGCCGACTGCAAATGAATTTCATTATCTTAGTTGTACGATTGAGGAGCTATCTCACAAACACACCCCACTCACATTGAACATTAACACACGGATATTTAACTATTTAGTAACTTACCTGGAATGAGCATTTATCAAATGTGTACCCCCAGTCCCTGATTTCCATATCCACCTCCATTTGTATTTGTATTCGATTGAATGAAATGTGAAGTAAAAGCTTTAATTTGCCATTTACAAAGCTTCAGTTAAGTTACGAGTAATGATTGCCATCTTTTTACACCTAGCATTTAGTCGTCTAGTTACCCTAGTTTATGGATTAATTTATGAACTGCAAACGCGAACCTCATCGAACCCTTTGCCTTACTTATCATTTAAGCTTTAATGTGAATGTACATTTACTTTAAGTTGATTTAGTTACTCCTCGGAGCAGCAGTCACGCCCACAATGCCCACAAAAACAAAACAAAACAAAAAGCATTATCACGCAAAACGTTTTAAATATGAATGAACAAACGTCTATAAATATTAACAAAACAAAATGAACAAAAACTATATTACTGTACGTGTAGATGTATTCATGATTTTATCTGAAAAACGGAATAGAAAGTCGGTGAGAACAAGAAGGAAACACAAGAACAACTTACAAAATACTCAAAGAACATGGATAGAATGGATAGAATACAACTTTTTACCACACTGAACAAGAAATATTTGACTGAAAAGTGTCGGGGGAAGATATGATATATGAATAAAGGTATAAACAATTTTAGTGTAAAATGTGTGTTTTTGCTAAATGTGGTAAACTAAAAGAAAACTTAAATTTATTACACAAAACTAAACTAAAGCGTAAACGAAACGAAGAGAAAATTCTTAAGTAAAGTAAATTTTTGGATGACAAGCCATTTAGACAAAATTTTTGAGACGAAAAAAGACATTTATAAGAAAGGAAACAAAAAGAACAAACCGAATTACTTTAAATTTTATTTAAGCAATGACCTTGCAAAAAAATAAAAGGTATAATTACAATAACTGTAATGTGAGTGTTTTTAGTTTAAAATTATATATTTCCAAAACATTCAAAATAAAATATAATTAGTTTAAAATATAACCAAGTTCTTTTATTTCGCATTTTACAGAATATGGGAATAAATTCAGATTCGGATGTACGTTTTACAATATTTAATAAAAGCGTATATAATTTGGAAACTCCGATCCAACTAATTTTTGTTAAAACAGAGTACACTATGGTAAACTTTTTATTATTTTTACTATTTTTTGTATATTATAAAGTCGAAAGCCTTTCCTTTGTAATAATCAAATTACATTTACATGATTCCATGTTATATGTTATTCATTCAAATTGTTTTTTGTCTTTATACCATTTAATGATAAAACGCTGTTGTTTTTGGGGTTACGACATTTATTGAAGCACACGCTTTCTTTTACCAACTAACTGCTTAAAAGTATTGTTTAGACGGGTCTCCATAGGTTTTCAGGTTTTTATTTTACCGGGCATCAAAGACAACAACTGCAAATAAAACGAAAGATTTCATTAGTACAGTTTGAGAGCCATTGGAGACTTCTGGGGAGGAATGTAAATATGCAGGATTACTTACGACGCTTGGTGCGTTTTTTGTACATGATACGATAGCCACACTCGCGACAACGAATCGGATCCCTGGGACGCATCTCGTTTTCATGATGGCATTCTGCAAAATATTTAAATAATTAAATGAAGTTCAAACAATTTTTGTTGCCATTCCGCAGCCATGTGCCCGCAATTAAAAAATCGTATTCCTGTTGAAGTACATAATGCGGCGAACTTACCTCCGCAAATATAGGTCATTGCCGTTTTGACATTATCCTTGGAGCTAGTTTCCGACATTTCTAATCAATATTATTAAAGTTATAGCGTGTTTTCTGTAAAAATGTGTTTTGTTTTGCCGAAATACTTTTAAGAGTGACCGTTGTAGGCTACACTATAAAATGATCATTTTTCGAATAATACTATTTTCCCGGCTCGGTGTATTTCAGTATCTTTGTTACCGCGCAACTTTTGAATGCACAAAAAATAATGTTAATATCATAAAAGTATTTTCAAGTTATATAAAATATATATTTAAATATATTTCATTAAAAAAAGTCCGTGCAATAAATTATTTAGTCTAAGTTTGGTCCTTTTCTAAAAAAAAAGAAAACGGATTTGATTTTATTTATATGAGATTAAACTGTATATTATCATTAAAGATCTTAGATTAATTTTTGAGTATTTTTGCTGTGAGCCATTAAGTTAAGTTTATGTTTAATGGATCTGTAATGCCTTTGCATACTTCCTACAATTGAAATTCCACAGGTTGCGCAGAACTTAAGCTTAACTCGTTTTTGCAATCTGGCGGGAGTTTTCAATTGGGTTTGTTTGATTTTTCTGTCAACGTTCTTGGAATGGTGTGTACTTTCGCTCTCAAACGTCTTATCTGTGTTCGTTGACGAACTCGCTTCACACTCAAGCTTTTCTTCAGTGGATCGTAAAATAGTAGAAAAACGTTTGTTGCAATTGGTGTCCCTCGTTTTGTCATTGGTTTTGCCGAACTTAATAAGGTTATCCTTGTGGCTTTGAGACTTGCAGTGCCTTAGGTAGTTTCCCTTCGATTTGATGGTCAGGTCGCAAACTTCACACTTAATGGTGTGAACTAAAAGATGCACTGCCTTTCGATGGGTTTGCATGGTGCCCTGACTGTAGAAATTCGCTCCGCAGATCTCGCAGGTGAAATTCCGCTTGTGCAAATGCGCCTTGTTCATGTGCTCCTTGAGAAAATACTTTTTCGTAAACTTCCTATTGCAGATTTCGCAGACTGGCGTTGGCTGCTTCCTACGACCTCCCTTTGGAGGTTCTCTCAACGGACGCATTTTATCCCGATATTTTTGCAAGGCCTTGTTGCATTCCCTAGAGGAATGAGCTGAGCAACATAGACGGGGTGTGGGTAGTTTGCATATGAGACAGGGTTTCTTGCGTTCATGAATCCGCAGTACATGGGCATCGAGGGCAGACTTGAGCTGGAATCTCCCAGTGCAGCGAGTGCACCTAAATGGACGATATAGTAGGGTACTGAACGTTCTAACCCGCTTCTGGTGCTTAAGTAGGAATTTCCGCGTGAGGAACGACCTGTTGCAAAAGGAACAGTGGAAGGGGAAGTTCGTATCGAGCTTCGCCCGCCTGTGTTTCACCATATGCAGCTGGTGGCTAAAGGAGAAGCCATAGTTCTGATCGCAGGTTGGACATTTGCTGAGGGTAGCAGTCTTTCGTTTTTGGACTGAAGGTTTCGATTCCTCCTTGAAGTACGACCGCAGGTCCTTGGCAACTGGCACCAATATATCCTCTAACTTGCCAGGTGATAGCTCCAGCTCCTTTTGCTCCTGGGACTTCTGATTCTCCAGTAATCGTTTGTATCTCTTATTTTCGTGCAGCTCTTGCGCGCTGGTTGATTTCCTGATTATATGTGCGCTCAATGAGTGCTGCAGGTAGAATCGCCTGTAGCAAATCTGGCAGTGAAAGTTGTCTGAGTAGCGATGAGTGCTTTGGTGATCCTCCACGTCCTGCAGTTTTTTCCACGGTAGATTCTCACATTTATTACAATCGCAGCGTAGTCCTGGCAGGAATGTAGCTGCGATTTTGGGACGTAGAGCTCCATGTGCTTCTTGGCCTGTCAGTTGGCTGACTGCTCGCCTGTAGCCGGTGCTCACTGTGTCCAGAATCGCAGCTAGCTTCTCCAATTGAACTTTTCGGCTTCTGTCTTCAAAGGCATCGAATATGGCTCGAAAATCCTCTTGTAAATCCGCCTTGAAGTACTCATTGGTCCAGAAATTATCACGTAATTGCGCTGTCCGCAGTAAAAGCAGCACATCCGAGCTTCGGAAGCGCATAATTTTCTGGATTTCTTCGCATAACTGGTTGGAGAAATCAGGTCCAAATATGGTGTCTCCTTCGCCATTGAATGCCACGTATTTCTCCCTGAATCCCCGACAACACTTGCAGTTGCAGTGGCAGGAAGCGGGGCATCCATCTGGTGGCTTGTCAATGCTGAGAACTGGCAGATCGGCGGTGAAGTTTTCGTAGGTGACTAGCAGTTTGCCAGGCCAAGACATTAGTTTACTATTTTGTTTACAAAATTTGAATCAGCAAGTGGCTGTATGACCAGTCAGGGATGGCACAGAAAAGTCAAATAAAACTACCAAATATTGCAGCGAATTTGTGCCATCTCTTGCTCGCTGGCGTTGCCGGACGGCTGCACTAAACAGCTGTTCGAATTTCGGCGGCATTTCATTTCATTGGTAATTGTTATTTCTTCAACAAAAACATGGTAAAAACTAAGGGAAATCAAAAGAAATTCGGCATGCATCCACGTAACGTGTTACGCACGCAGCCGGACTATACAAAAATGGCTATAAAATACAAAGATTTTCGAGCGCAGTGCCAGTTGGTAAGTTCAAACTTAATGTGCTTAGACAAAAAGAGTTTAATAAACTTTTGCCAGTTTAGGAGCTCAATGGCAAGGTTTCTGTGAACTTTCGCAATGAAAAGACCCTGCGTGAGTTGACCAAAATGCTGTTAAAGGAATACTACGATTTAGACGTGGATTTTGCACCCGGCAGTTTGGTGCCCACTTTGGCACTCCGTTTGAATTACATTTTGTGGCTGGAGGATCTAATGGAGCCTCTAAATTTGCAGGACATACGTGGTATAGACATAGGTAAGCTCTGGTTAAATATGCTATAATGATTTACTAACGAACTCCCTTACAGGTTGCGGTTCCTCCTGCATTTACTCGCTCCTAGGAGCCAAGAAAAATGGTTGGCACATGTTGGCTCTGGAATCGAAACCCCAAAACATAGAATACGCCATCGAGAATGTAAAGAAAAATCGCTTGGAAAGCCTTATAGAAGTCTATGCTCAAGCAGACAAAACGAACATCTTTAAGGGCTATTTTGAGCAGGATCAGCGAATGTCAGTGTATCAGTTTTGCCTGTGCAATCCACCTTTCTTCGACTCGAACTTGCCAAATCCCTTTGGCGGCAATACCAGGAATCCCGAGAGACGACCAGCACCCAATAATGCCAGGACTGGAAGCCAGGAGGAACTCACGTGCGTGGGCGGCGAGGTACAGTTTGTGCAACGCATCATAGACGAGAGTCTGGAACACAAGGAGCGTGTGCGGTGAGTCAATCTTCATTAGCTGCTGAGATTGAATTAACGTTGGTTTTGTTTGCGGCGCAGAATCTTCACCACGATGCTGGGCGTCAAGGCCAACGTTCCAAGAATACTAGATTACCTAAAGAAGCTGCAGGTGGCGAATGTCACCACCACGGAATTCCATCAGGGACACACGACACGATGGGCGGTAGCCTGGAGCTTTCACTCGGAGCCACTAAGGCAGGCAACATCATAAGATGTTGTTACCATTAGCTTTTGCAGAGTATCTTCTTTTTGGTTAAGGCAATGTGGTTGTACATCGGCATCGCATAAAGCAGTAGTTTTAATATACAAGTTGTTGAGGAATTACTGAAACTTTCAAATTAACTCTGACCTTCACCTCGGCTCATCCAAAAAAGTGACTCCATTACAAGGTACCTAGAAAGCTTTTGCCTTAAATGGAAATTTGCATGTCAACGCTCACTTTGCCACCCAGCTCCACGAACGGAAATTATCGTTTCGCTTTTATCATTGACCACAGCTGACCACACACTTCGACGGAAAAAGGCAAACGGAGTCAGAATGGCAACCGAAATGGAGGCAAACACGCTCACTAAGCACAAGTCGCCGCCGCTGGTCAACACACCGACATTTCCACACCTTTGCGCCGGGGAATTCGGGCGCTTCGCTTGACCACCATGTGGGATAGCAAATAGCACATTTTAATTGCTGCATGGGCTCGTTCTGGGTCTGCTAATTATTCGACATGAAAATACCTTTCACTCATGGGAACTATATTAAAAGTGGAATCAAATGGCGGTGACAGACAGTAAGTCAAAAGTGTATAATATACCAATATTCCAATACCAATAATATAATTGTAACACGAATTCTTCAAAGGTTGAAGAATTCAACTGCAATCTTTAAAGGGTATCCGCATTTTCCACGCCATCCGAGTTTCCCTTTGCCATCTGAGCCTTTTTACAACTTGGCTGTTGCTGCCTTTTGTTGACCGACATGCTTTTGTTGTCTTTTATGGCATTTCAACACGTTAAGGTGTAAGGAACAACGTAATTAAAATGCAAGCCGTCGGTTTTTAAGCTCGGATAGATGGGTTCCCGGCTGCGTCATGCGTTTAGGTGCGGTCTAGTTTGTTTTCCATTGTTTCCCGTTCATGTTGTGGGCTTTGCAGTCGCCCACGCTCCAAAATTAGAAACAAGCTTCAGTTGTGGGCAGCCCCTCCACTGATTTCAGCTGGGGCGCCCCTCAATTTACGGGCTATTATCTTAATTTTAGGCAACCAAGGCCCCGAGGTAAGCCACAAAACTCGACACGTGTTTCTGGGCTCGTCCCGATGTGGTAATTGTTAATTAAAAACACTCTCAGGTCACGTAGAGTGTGTTTTAGATGCCCTATTAAAGCCATAAAAAGCTAGGCATTCCGACCGCTGGGTTCGACTCTTTTATTGGCCATCGTTAAGTGGCTTAGAAAGCAAGTTTATGTTGAACCATAACTCCACATATAATGCTCGTCTATGGAATTGGGTTTGTAATACATTTTTAATGATACCTTTGACGGATTTCTGCGGGGGAAGATAAGTAATTGCTTTGTTTACTGCAATATCATTATTAATTTAAAATGCATGTTCCTTCTGTGGAAACAGTATAAAAGGACATCAGGGTTGGGCCTTTCCACGATTAACCCATTAAAGGTGGGGCTGGCTGAAATGACTGAAATCCTAGTCAACTTTTGTAAAATTCGTACATCAATCAATTGACCAAAAATCATCCATCAGGCATCAGGCAATCTGAGCGTTGGCTAACCGAAAACACGGGAAGTGCGGTGCCGAAAAGTAGGCAATGACCAGTAGGCAAAAAAGTGGAGCTTAAATCAAAGCAAACAGGTCTTTAAGAGGCGCCTCGATGTGGAAACTCCGGCTGGGAGCTGGGAGCTGGGCGGGCGGCAACTGGGAGCCTTTCGTGATGGCACGTAACGAGCTGCCAGACGGCGGCGTCTGTTGCAATTGGCAGCGGGCTGCTCCGGTTTCCCCCACTGCATATACACGGCTATTGTCGTGTGGCATATGCATGCAGATACATTCGCTTAATGCAATGAAAAGCAACCAAAAAGGGACGAATCGAAGGGGGTGCCCACAGACAATGCAAATGCTGATGTGCGTGTGAGATGGGCGCAGTGGCGTGCACAAGGGGGGTTGGGAGCTCCTTAAAAATAATTGAAAACTTAGAACTATTATTTCAACTGTGTATGAATAATTGAGTAGCTAATTAAGTATTTGTCACACATAGGATCGAATTGAAATGAATATCTAATACATACAGTTTACAAAGAATATATAAATATATGTGGCATCATTGTAAATATACCAAGGACAAATAAAATGACTCCTATAATATACTAACATCATATATACTTAGAGATAAACATCAAAAACCTTCTCACATAATTAACTGCCAAATAGTACCAAGAAGGCGCCTTTTAATACATACTAATGAGTTAATAAGGACATAATTAAATTGATATCTCACCAAAAATGCCCAACCCCCTCCAAACTCCCCTGTACGCCCCTGTGTGTGTGCGTGTGTGTGTCTGCGGTCGGCGTAAGTCTGTGTGGGTGCTTCAGTTTTTGTGGCGTGTGTGTCATTCATGTAACCTTTCAATAAACATGCCCGTGTGGGTGAGTGGGTGGTGGGCGGCGGAGTTGTGGGCGGGTGTTTTCGACTGGGTAGGTAGGCGTGGCAGGCGGTGCATGCATGCGGCAGGGAGTCGTGTAATTGAACTGCTCCTACAAGTCCGGTTGAGTGTGCCGAGCGAACTCTTGAATGTGATTTTAAAGTCAACATCGAGCACTCCTGACATCCGAACTGTCATTTTTTGGTTTGCCGCTTGTCTGCCAGACAAACCGATTCGATGCGATCCGCCAGCCCCTCTTGGCCAACTATTGTCTGCTCATATTCCCTGTTAATATTGGCTTGGCATTTGGCCAAGAGCTGAGTTACCGGATATGAATGCTGCTAGCCATGCGATGGGTGTAGCTCCTTTAAAGCTGTTGTGCAAATTCCTGCGAAATAATATTTTCAATACAGAAATGCCAGGCTTGTGCTTTATTTTAAAGGTATTTATTTGCCATTATTTAAATAATAAGAACTTCTTAAGAACTCGCAAATGCGTGCATGATCATTAATAACACACAATTAATTAAATCCCACGTACGATGGATATTTCACTTCAACGCCTTTCCAACGTGGCGTATGATTAATCGTCATCGTCAAGGGAACAACAGGGAATATGTTCGGATATATCATTTCTGGCCTAATTCAATTACCGTTAGCGACTTTCTATGTTGCCACAAATCAACGCGGAAGATGGAAAAAGTGGTGACAAAAGAAACGCTTTTCTCGCCAACATGACATCAGATACGCAGATATGGAAAATACGCGGGAGAAAGGACACGGTCAAGGTGAAAAGTCGGATAAATAATGAGACAGGAATGCGAATAAATTGCGTTGTAAGAAAACTGTCAGCTTGTCAAATAAAAACCAACAAAAGAGCGGAAATGGAGGAGTTAAGCCGCTCAAACGGAATACGGATAAATTACTCGTCGAGTTTCCGCTCTGCTCAAGTACTTATGAAAATCGGATTCTGTTTGCGAGAACCTTAAGCCCAATATCTCAAGAGCACATACGAAACTTCACTTTAAATTTATTTGCTCGCTGTCAGTTTTTCAAGTAGACCTGAAAATTGTTGCGCACCGCTAAACTCCAGACTTGCAAAATGACGGCAAAAAGCACGCGAAGAACTTTCCATTTGCTAGAAGTCCCGAGAGGAAAGCCCGAAACATACCAAAAAAACAGGAGAAAAGCTATAGTCGAGCTCCTCGACTATCAGATACCTCTTACTTAGCTAGTGGGATGGCAAACAAGAAAGTTGAACATTTTATTTGAGCTCAACTTTCTAACTTGTTCCTGAGATCTCTATCTGTTACATACTTTCAAGGAATCTAATATACCCTTCTACCCTACGAGTAACGGGTATAATAAATAAAAGAACATAGAACCAAAGTTAGGAGGCGGCAAATGAGTTGGGAGGAGGCGTGGCAGAGAGCAAAGGGCAAGTCAGATTTTGCAGCCACGCGGCGTATACGTATTTTTCTTATTTTCACTCACAAAGGGACAAAAAGAGCAAGAAAAATCGAAAAGCCAAACATTTTTATCTGGAAAACAAAGCTATTTATATCTTTTGGGCAACATAATGACCTAGGCATTTCCGCTGGCAAATGATGCGCAAGTTTTGGGCCTAAGACTCTCGAGTCCAGAGACTCGCGTTGTCAGTCATTTTATCAGGACCTGAAAGGGTTTATGTGTCTCCGGCGCTTTTGGCCTCATGAAGTGGCAGTCAAGTGGCAAGGGACTTTGGAATTCTCGCCTTTGGATTTTCCCACCAACTTTAGGCATTTTTGGGGTGTGCGAATTCACGCTTTCAAGGCTGTTTTTCCATCAGTCTTGGAGCCGCGACAAGTTCTGTCCGTTGTCCTGACCCATCCTGTTTTTGTTCGCCAGAGTGCAGCTGCTGAAAAGGCGGCGAGTTCTTCGCACTTAATTGCTAGCCGTTTTGGCATCCAACGAATTCGATTTTTTGCTGAACTTTAAAGGGAATTGTGGGCAACTTAAATCTGCGGTTTCGCAACTGCGATTTTGTGTTTTATTTTCTGTTCGCATGGTTTTCAATCAATATTCATTTGCCTCTGCTCTTTTGGAAAGCTCTTATTAAATTTGAATCGAAATTCAGAAGGCCCTGGTGGCATTTATGGCCATTGAAACTCAATTAATTTGTTCAGTTTCGAGTTTTTTTCCGATTTTTTGGCTTGACTAAAGCTTTTATCAAGGCTGCACCTCTTAATGGACATGTTAATTAAATAGCCTCGCTTTAATTAATAATTTGATTGTGTTTTAAACAGAGCGCTCTGTTGTTGGTGCATATTTACCAATGCCTTTCAGGCCGTTTCTGCCCCATTTCGGACTGTTTATTCTGCCCATTTATGCCACGTATGCAATGTGAAGCTAATTTGCATATGCTCAGACATCTGTAATAAAATAACATATGTACATACATATGTGCGATTCATTTTGTGGGCGAGCGGGGGAAGTTTTGATTAAAATTGCCCCAAGACTTACGAAGATTCGTGGCTTGCACTTTAACTACACTATGCGCACTTTATCTTTATTATTATGGCACTATCTCTAAGATAAAATGTGGAATACACTTGCACAAAACGTTACTGCATTCCCAGTTAACCAATTTAGTTTTTGAGCTTGTGGTGATATAATAATTTGTGATATTGTGATATGTAATTAAAATATAATTCATTCAAGAATTCCTTCCTACGAATGTGAATTGTAAAATATACATACAAATTCCTAGCTGAGCTCGACAAATTAAGTGAAACATTTCGAATGTGCAGAGAGATTTTGGAATACAATTACTGAGCAGAACAGGGAACTAAACCAATTCATTTGGCTCACGCACACCACTGCAAGCCAAAGAGCCAACTCCCAAATTTAAATGCCAAGATAAAAAGGGAAGCCAGATGACAGCTGAGCTGTAGAAGATGTAAAAGTTAGTTGATTTTATGAATTGCTATATATACTCAAGGGAGCGGCCGGTACTCATTGATATTTTTATGGGCCAGGTTTTCAGCTTGGAAAAATTCCTTTATTTGCATTCATTTTGGCTGGGCTTTCATTCAGCTGTTCTGCGTGTGTTTGTGAGAGAGTCCTTTGGAATGTGTTGGTGTGAGTGTGGGCATTCCTTTCTCGATGATGATGCCATTGCCTTGGCTGCCTTTGCCGCTCTTTGGATTCTGGTTGTGCCGCCGCCACAACGGTTTCTGCGGCGCCTCTAAGCCACAGCGTTCCCATGGCTGTGTGCGTGCGTATCTGTGAGTGGGATTCGGCCGTCGGTTTGTTTATTTGCGAAAAAGTTTGCAGCCAACAACAGAGGCAGCTGCTGCTGTTGCCGCCTGGCAAGAGCCGCGCTCTCCTCAGCTCTCTTTTTTGGTCCCTTGTTAAACAGTGGTATAATATTATTTTCTTAAAATAAATATTGATACAAAACCATTTTATTCTATTCGATAGACAGCCATAGTTGTAAATTTATTCTTTAATTCATTAATTGACATTTTCATTCACATGGCCATCATAATTCAATAGCATTAACCACCTATTTCATTTATTAATTTAAATGCCACAACTATCACTTACTTGCGCCCACTGTGAGTCCTGCGAGAGAGTGAGAGAGAGAATTCTCTCGCTTCCCATCTCTCCACTGGAGAGGTCCTGGCTCTCCGTTTCCCTGGGCTTTGTGTGCCGTTGACTGCCGGCTGGCGCGTCGCTGCTTGTTGAGCTCGAAACTCCAGCTCCTGCAGGATGTGGGGATGTCGGGCATTCGGGGTCCGTGGCATCCGCAGTGAGGACGCGTCGCCGGCGCCATTCAGTGTCAAAGTCAGTTGTGCCTGAGCTTGTGCCAGAGACAGTCAGTTTTGCTGCGAGTCTGCCATCCAGCTGGTTTCCGCTTCCGGTTCCGTGCGAGGTCTTTGGCTAGTGAATTGTGGTTGTGCACCTTTTTCTAACGACTTTTGTAAACACCCAAGTTTTTTGGGCAAAAAGCGTACCAAAGGCTCAGCGTATTTTTGTAAACATTTAATGCGATAAAGGTTTCGGATCGTGAAAGTCAAAGTGCAAATTGGGCCAGAAACAACAAGTATCGTTTATAAACTAGTTTCCAGCTCGGAAGTGTGTGTGTGTGTGCTCCTGTGTGTGTGTGTGTGCTAGTGTGTGAGTGAGTGGTGTGTGTGTGCAATTGATTAAACAAAATAAGGGTAACCTAGGCCAACTGAAAGCGTAGAGACACCATCAAAAGCAGCGCACTAAATTGCCAAATCCTCGAGCCAGCAAGATGGGCTGCAACACCAGCCAGGAGCTGAAGACGAAGGATGGCGCCGCCATCGATGCGGTGAGCAATGGCGAACCGGAGCCTAGTGCTCCTCCGCTGGAGGGCGAGTCCTCCAAGTCATCCGCTAGCAATCATACGAATCACGGCAAATCCAGTTCAATTATCTCCAATGGCGAGGCAAAGGCGGCCAACGGGGGCGCCGCAGTTGGCGGGGGGAGTGGCAAGTCGGAAGCAACAAATGGCATTGACCGTCCCTGCGACAAGGCGGCAATCACGGAGCTCAATGACGACGAGGACGAAGGTAAGTCCCGCTCAATCTCCTACAGCCAATACATTCATATTAACGACTGTTCAACATTCGGTGTGTGTGTGTGTGTGGTTGCACTCAAAAAAAAAAAAAAATAGAATAGCATAGCAGCAAAATGTGGTGCTTTTCCTAATTTTCTGAATTCAGAGAAATTTATACAACTTGATTAACTTTTTTGTTTACAACAACCTTTAAGTTCTCAATCACATTTACCCTAAAATAGAATAAATTGACAAAAATATCAAATTATATCAATTATACCATGATGCAAACATAGTTTATTTTTTCAATGTTCATATAATAAATGCCAAATATGAATTTGGTAAAAAATGTTTTTACAACTAGAAGCAACTGAAAGGCATTTTTTTCAGTGTGCTGTGTGTGTGCGGATGAATGGAAATCCTGTGTCCAGCGCTTCCAGTATTATTTACTGTATCAACACGCTGGGCGTACGTCGTTATCGGAGTTGCCTTTTTGTTCGCACTTTTCCATTTTCCCGCAGTTTTCCGGGATCCCCGCGGCCCTCTGCTTAATGGTGTCGCAAATATGAATTGTTTAAGTGTATACACATATATGTATGTGTATAAAGAGATGTTTGCTAGGGGTATATACACTGCACTCCATTACACGCCACTACATCCGCAAGCGTTTTTATGCGCCCGATGGCAAATTTGTGTAACTTAACTTTGTTAAGTAGCCGCCTCGTTGTCCCACAGTCGCCTTGAGCATTATTTTCCCCAATGCGCATTAACGTAGGATATGCTCCTGTTTATGGTATCTAATAAGCGTTAATAGAAGTCACTTTTATGTCCAGCGATATGGGCCAAGCCTAATATAAATTTCATAGCTTGCTTTTGGGGGCACAATTGAGTTTACGATAAGTGATAATAGCGTTTACTTTGCTTTCAGGGTGAAAACTTTAACGAAATATGAAAAGGTGTTTAATTTGCTGCAATATTTGCCTGCAATAAATACATTTTTAATTAATTATTAACTTTATTTATACATTAAAAGGAAAAATTAAATGAAATTTAAGTTGGTAAAATAACTAAAATTGTTGGGCCACGAGAATTAATTTAAACGGCTGCCAAAACTCACCAGCAATTTAATATACTTTACTTGCGAAAATACATACATTTGAAATTATTTTCAATTTTCCCAGTTATTCATTTAAATTTTCACCACAATAACTTTTTACTCAGCGCCAATTTGGATGCAAAGTTCGGGGCTAATTCCATTTGCAAACCTCAAAAACGGAGGAACTTTGTGCGGTTTATGTGCTCCTTCTTAAAATAATAAAAATTGTGAAAAACCAACGAGGCGCACAGCGTTTCCAGAGCCTGACTCATAAATTACCACACAGCCAGCTTTCCCTTGTGGCAGGTGCAGCAGTAGTAGTGGCAGTAAATGTTTGTTTAGTCGTCGTTTTCCCCACGTTTTCCCGCTCGACAGCACTCCCCCTCTCCCCGCCAAATTTCATTTCCCAGTTTCCCGGAGGGAGTGCTGATAAATTGTGTAGCGACACTTTATCAATGGCTGCTTGCAACGGAAAAGTTAGCCAGAAAATTTCGTTCCCCGCTAATGCCACAAATTATTATTATTGCCAAGCAATTTTCCCACTGCCAACAGCTTTTAATTTGATGGTTTATGTGTGCTGCTCACTTGGTTTTCCTCGTAACATTTGCCCAAAAATTAGCTGAGCTAATTGGGGCTTCTTGGAATCTCGGAAATATTCTGTATAATCCTCGAAAGTTTGGGGGTAGCAATGGAAATTAAATGAGTTCTTCGCTTCACCGATTTACTATTCAATATTCAATTTCATTTGGGCTGTAGTGGTTCATAAATAATCGCTGGCTGCCTTTCGGCTGCGTTATCTTTTTCCTTACCATAAAGTTCCTCACTATAAAGTTTAGGCCGCTCCTCAAACTTTTTGATTTCCTCAGCAGCAGCGTAAAAGAAAAGCGTAATAAAACATACAAATAAACTAACGAAAGGAAGCGAAAACCCAAATCAACCATAAAACTGCCGCTCGGTTACGCCATTTACTCCGCCACCCAGAACATTTTGTAAAACAAACACGTAGGCTGTATTTCAAATTTATTCCGCTTGCGAGTAAAACGAAATTAAAAACATAAATCCATAAATGGGCACTTTTTCTTTTTTGCGGTCTGTCAAATAATTAAGAAATGGCGATGACGAGGTCCATTTCGTTTTATTTCACTTCCCTTTGGGCTTGGACACGCCCAAAGCGAAATTACCTGCGAATTGCGAGTGGGCCAGCAAGGACATAAATTGGCAATAAAGATGTCAACTCATGCAAAGCATAAGCCTAAGCAAACAGACACCAGAGGAAAGGCGGCGGAACACACTAAGTCCTGGCTAAGCTCCTTTTCAGTTGCCTTGCTTAATGTGAAACGCAAATAAGTGCCACCCAGTGTTGCTTGATCCTGCTGAGGACACGCAATTAAACTCTACACACCCACTAACTGGCTAAAAGGAATGATACTTTGAGATGCTCTCTAGGGCATATTTCAGATTTAAGGTATAGTTTGGCTAAATGGTCATGACTTATACTACAATTCTGTTAAGTGAAGAAATTTGCTAAAATTAGCAACTTGTTTGAGTACTTTATTTGGCTGTTTTAGCACTCAAAAATACTGCTTTTATTTTTGTATTATTTAATTTCAGTGCTGAAACATTTATTTACACTGTATGCGTTATCATATTCAATGTATCCAGCATGAGAGTATGCAAATCCAATCTCTGGCGCTCAAAGGCATACATTAGCGACAGATTAAAAAAATGTCCTTAAAAGACATAAGGCAAGGACGTAGCCTTAATGCGTTTATGGCGCAAATTTGCATAATTTTAATTAAATTTTTGGCAATTCCCGGCGCGTTCCACTTGTGGCTTGGTCTGAGCTCATTCCAGTTGGTTTATTATGCCGCAATGTCCTGCTAATGTTTAACTAATTGGGTGTACATATAGCTTTCTACTTGCCACCGTGCAGTCAATTTGATTTATTGAGCAAATAGTTTTCTGTGGCACACGTACACGTATTGTATTTACACTTGCCGCAAGATGGGTGTGGCAATATCCCGATTCGTGGCCGAAAGGCGGGCACGTTGATGATGTGCGTGGCGTTGTCGGTCTAATTAGCACAATTCCTGTTCCAGGGTGTGTCCTTTTGATAAGCCGATGGGTAGAGGGGGAAGGGCTGGGCGTTGGCGGTGCGAAGAAGAACAAATTTCCATAATAAATGTGAATAAATTGAATAAAATGTTGAAAATAATCATAATAATGCAAGATCTTAAGTAAATAAGTGTGCTGATTAAAATAAACTGTATTTACCATACTTCTGTCAACTTCTGCTGCTATGTGCTCCACTAAATAAATATAGCCACAAGCACACCGATGCCATAAATATTTATTTTGAGCACTTACTTTCATTGTTCAATCATTTTAAAGGCATAAAAAAGACCCTTTTCCGCCGCGAATTGACGTTGACAGCCTGAAAATCAATAACTATAAAATATTTCGCGCCAAGATACCGAAAGTCGTTAAATTTTACCAGCCAAAAGCATTAAAATTCAAATTTAGCAGAACGTTCACAGTCCATTTGGTTTTCCTGGGCGCTTGGCAATTCAGCCGTACAAATAACACGTATCCGACGCGTTGGCCCAACGCATTAATTTCAATTTGGCGCCCGGGAGAGAGGATTGCTCCACACGGGCGTCCTGACCCGACCTAAAAATACACTTTTGGCAATGGCCTTGCCCACAAATATGAATAATATGAGGCAGCTCGGGAAAGAATCGGGGGAGCGGCATATTTACACGAAAGAAATGCATAAAATTGGGCACTGGGGCGGCATTAAAGAGCCGGACAAATGCCAGAGATGCGTGCCCGAATGATATTTAATATCTGTGTCCGACTCCAGGATGGCCACAAATTGAAGACAGTCGGCGCCACACCGGAGAAAATTATGCATACCACAATGGGGCAGGGCCGAAAGGGGGATGGCACCATTAGGGCCCATTTGTATGGATGGGGATGTGTGTGTGGCGGGTCTAATGTCTGCGTGTTTGCCCTGTTAAAATGCCCTTTAAACAGGCGCGCAAAGCATTTCCTAAGCTCTGCAATTTGCGTCGCCTCGCGAGCGGAAATGATAAATTGACATTTGTTGAGGCTTTCCGCTCGCTCACTGACTGGCATTTCCGGTGTTCACCATCCACCATTCGCCATTTCTATTGCCATTGCCATTCCCATCCAGCTTTTAGGTTCAGGTTGGGTCGTTATTATTGTCATTGTTCTGTTTTTATTGAAGCGTTTCCGCACTGACTGTTGATGCTCCCTCTGGAATTGCGCCACATTATGTTCCGCAAAAGGATTTCGCTTTTTTCCAAATTCCTGTGGGAACCATGCTTTATGAGTTTCTTTGGCAGTGTCTACAAAGATTTCCTGCCTAAAATGCACCTATCAACATTAAGTAAAAACTTTCCACAAGTTTTCTAAGCCATATACTTACTCAAGATCACCACAATGGAGAAAGCAAAGTCATATTATTTTGTAACATTTTGTGAGCACTTTGTATATCTATCCTCTATTTCTCTTATGTAAATTCACTCTTTAGACATTGGGAGAATTTGCTGGCTACGACTTTGTGGACTGGCTTATGAATTTCTCATGCAGCAATTGATATGTCCACATTATTTATGATGCCTATCGGTGGAGCTTGACACATTTGCCTTCTTTTGTGCTGGCTTTTGTCACTTGACGCAAATGTATGCGCATATAATTTGTATTTGTGCTGATACACATTTCACGGATATCAGTGCTTTTGAATAATACAAATGGCGAGGAAGAGTCAGCCTGTTAGCTGTGAATAATTGGAAGCGATTATTTGTTATCGCTTTGCCAACGTAACTGTGCTATATGGCCTGGAATAAAATGTTTAAAGCCAAATTTATGGTGCTCTCAATTTGCTTCAGTGC